TCCAAATCACGAAAATCTGGACCCGACTTTGAATATTTGGTCTAAAATTCAAAATGATTGTATTCTGCCACAAATCCTATCTAGCGATTTCACTGCATGGCTTACTAAAGGGCTATACACGGTTTTGACGGTGTCCCATTTAGGAAATGGCGTCCTGTTAGTTCCAGGCTACGATGACATGCAGAACGAAGTGCCACGTGTAAATGAAGTCGAATAATTATCGGTGCACCCATAAACGCCAAAAAGGGCAAAGCGTTTCTGGCCAACAGGTGGCTGTGGGATTGGAGTGAAACGTTTAAATAACTTCGATAAATGCATATCCAATAGACACAGCAAGATCGACAATACTGCCCGACTAACTGCTATCCGCAGTTTTTGCAAGCTACCGAAAGCGACTGCGAAAACGACATAATAACTCCACCCCAAAAATGTGCGTGTTCTACACATCCATCCGGACCAATTCTAATGTTTGATTATGAATGCTCGGCAATTCACAACACAGAAGCACGAAAAACAGAAGATATTTTACAAGCACAGCCTGAGGACCGCTATTCGAGTGAAGTGCATTGATTTCGTCTCGAGGACATCTCAAATCATCCAAGAAAATGTGGCTCTTATCGACAGCACGCGAATTCAGTTACTGTCTTTGGCCCGACACTTCAGTTCACATGAGAGTGTGAAGGTCAAATCTAGACTTGGTTCAACCCAATATATTAAGACACGGAGACGGCTCTTGAACCTTCGGTATTTAGTCTCTCTCACTGATCGACCTAAGCACCCAAAAGTCACTCCCACAGGTCAAAGTAGTGCCCAAGTGCAATTCATAACATTGTTTAACCCGGCTAGGTTAGGCATGATCACAGAGGTGTGCCGTGCAACTATTTAGCTGGAAATAAATCTGGAATCGTATCGAACCCTAGTGAAAGCGACGTTGGCTATAAGCGACGTGTAAGGAATGGCAACAAGATAAAGCCTACAATAGTCTGTTGCACGATTTTGTGGGCACAGTCTGGACTACTTGGCCAAGTAGGTTCCCCAAACCTTAATAGCACTTAAGTATGCCATCTGTGTGTCGAAAAGCACATTTAGAGGGCGAAGGTTTTGTTTACAGTGTAAACGTTCCGCTCGTATACGAGCTTGAAGAACGTTTGTGTGCACGCAATGCAGGGACAGAGTAGCGCGAATCGATTTACTCTGATCGTAGCGAAGCTAGCCTTTTTGCTAACACGGACGAATGGATCCCCAAGTGCTTCTTACGTAACAGACAGTTACTATTGTAATATCTCCATCTTAAGTCCACGACCAAGTGCCAACCTTGGCGAGGGACAGACTGAACTGTTAAATAAAATGCAAACAGTCAGGCACCTTTTCCACAAAAGGTTAAAATAAACGCGCCAAGGCGTGACTTCACATAAGGAACAAACCAATTCGAAAATACGCCGAGGGAGTCAGTTTGAAAGATAAAAACGAATAATCAAACGCGAACACATTTCATATGAAAACAGAATATTTCCAAGATCTAGTTTAGGTCGTTGAGGTTCCATTTATTATTAATTATGACGAGACAGTCAAATTTCTGAAGGCTTTCCGAATAGGCAGAATAAGAGAAGCAAATGATGGACAACGCCAGCCAAAACCGTTAAAGATTTTCTTGCAGAGTGAGATAGAGGCATAACTATTGTTCAGCAGGAAACCAATATCAGAATCGTCCACCCAAAGTTTTTCTCAGCCAAATTTTTCACCAGTGGAGCGGGAAAATGGAAATTTCTCATAACAGAACTTCTCAGGATTTGCGAACTCTGTGAGAAAAATCTCCGAATACTAAATGGGGAAATCGTACATGTCCAGCGGGTATTTTTTTAAGGAAGCCTATGATTCTAATAGCCTAGGTGGGACGGACAACAGTCCATCAGGATCAGTAATGACAGTTTTCTGCATTCAATCGCTCGGAATAAACAGACACCTGCATAAGGTGGTTATCAAGTCCAAATTGAGATTTCTATATCCTAATGCCCAAAGTCTCCTTTCAAAAGTCAAAGAACTCAAGGCATTCGTTTCAGACAGAAAACTTGATGTTGTTGCCATAACGGAAACGGGGCGTACAGTCTTAGGGTCGTTGCTCTTCCTACTCTATATTAACGACTGTGCCGATGACCTGGCTTGCAGCGCCATCACGTTTGCTGCAGAGATCAAACTCTGGGTAGCCACCAGGTCTGATGCCTATAGGCAAGCACTTCAAGAGAGTTTCAGCCCATTTTGCAGCTGGTCTGCTAGTTGGCTCTTAAATTTCAACGTTAGTAAGTGGTTTTAAGGCTCCATACTAGAAGGATCAATGAGGGGTTGATTCCCTCCAACACTTTCTCGAAGGACAATCCTTTTCAAATGTTGAAAAACAGAAGGACATCAGTTTTCTAATAAACTCTTCACTTAAACCACCTTCACAGTGTCTCAAGGCAGCTAAACCCGCGACACAAGTGTTATTTGACGGCACCGAAGATGTGCTTTAAAAATAAACCTTATTATTATTATTAAGACGAGGATTAGTTGAGGTCGACAAGGAACCGTTTAGAAATGCCTATGGAGTATTTTCTGGGTCCCATTTGGAATATGCCACAGAGGCCTAGTGTCCGTGGTTTGAGAAGGATTATCTGAAACTGAAATGAGAGCAAGCGAGGGCTACGAAGCTGGTCAAGGATCTTGTCATCTGCCTTACGAAAGCAAGTGGACTGAACTAGATTTGTTTCCTCTCAGTTACAGGCAACTACATGGTGACCTCATTCAAACCTACCGAATTGTCAGGGGCTGTGAGTGCGCCCTAGAATTCGATGTCTTCTTTGAATTGGCTCGGACGGACAACCTGCGGAATCATCCATTTAAACTGCAGATGAAGCTGGCCCATATGGACGTTCGATGGAACGCCTTCTCGCAGACGGTCCTTGGAGCGTGAAGAGGACTCCCTGACGAGATGGTCCTTTCAGAAATTGTGGCGACATTTAAATGCAAACCAATTCTCATTTGCAAGGAAACTGTTGTACACATAACAAGCTTTGTGTTATTAGCGGCAGTTTGCGGCTAGCTCACACATATTACTTATGTTAACTCTGCATTTGTCATATGTACTGTTGTAAAAGTTAAGCGTTTATGTGATTTTGGATATGACTATGGACCTCAAGGGCGAAGGCCTTCTTTCCTCAATAAAGTGACTCAATTCCTAAGACCGATAAGACCCAAGCTTTATTGGGAGGGATGGGATTTGTGTGCATGATGCTGCTTCTGAAATTTATTAAATCGGCAGCAGACCGTGCTCAGCAAACGAAAAGCCAGAGCAAAAAATGTTTCCGTTATATTTATGATCGATTAATTGCCCTGCCTTTGCCCACGCAATCAAAACGTTACGAAACTGAAATTTAACAGTGCAAAGCGCGAAACCCTTGTCCTGAGATCTAAAATTATAATTGAAAAAGTATATTGTACAGGTGGCACATAATCGTAATCTGTTGTAATATATAGTGGTGCGCACCAGCAAACTTTTATCTGCAAAAGAACTAGGATAGTTACTTTGATCGGGTCTCTGGATACTCAGCATATCTGGAATTATGTTGAGTAGCCAAATATGAAAAAAAGACTATAGAAGGAGGGGCATGGTGGGTAAATTATTTATGAGCTTAAGAACGATTCACTGTCAAAGACGACCTTATATATCGTACACCAAAAGGCAACATACGGCACTTCCACCGATCCTTAAAACTCCGATTGAAACCCCATATGGGCTTGGAATACGACACTGACAAAAAAAGTCAATGGTTAAAGTTACCATATATGTGCTATCCCATGAAGTGTTAACCGAAATTCTAAAATGTGATTTCCATTAGAAAATCTAACTAAGAGAGGATTGATATATAATTTATCGTGTAGCAAGCTTCCAAAATATTTCAGTAACCTCAGGATGCCCGCCTTCGAACGAGCTTCCTTCAGGCCACCCACAACGACTGCAGTCTTAAAAAGTATTACTTTAATAGCATAGCATTATTCCGATGAATGTTGAAAATATTATAAGTTCAAATATATTTTATAAAAAAACACAACAGATTCTTTCTTGTGTTTATTTAGTAGAAAGTTACACCTGCCTCCGAATATATACCCGAGAAAAAATGGGTACTTTTTGGTTTTTAGAAAGATTTTGCGAATTCCAAATAATTTCGAAACCGGTTGACTGTCACACCTACCTACGGGGTCTCCAAACTATAGGCCGTATATTTTTCGATGTATGATAAAGCATATGTTTCTATAGGCTTTTTAGAAGACATCATCTAGATCTCATAAAATTTTACGGTGGATGTGTGCCATGTTGCATACTTTATAAGCAAGAATGATAAATTGATATATACGATGCCTTCCCTGCCGGCATACGGCGCCTTCATTATAGGAGGCCAACAGGGAAATAGGAGGGATTATTCCCAACAGCATTTAATTATGTCTGATTATTATAGAGGTAATTTTAGGCATCCATGTATATATTCCAGTGCTAAAAGAAGAACAGTTAAATTAAATCTTTAATATTCACTAGCTAAAAGTGATTTTTAGGCTAAGTTGAGTTAGTCGCAAACGTCTGAATTTAATATCTTCCTACCTGAGCTCTCGTACAAAACAAGTTAAGATTTAAGAATTATCTCCAAGGAACGTGGTTATAAAGAGTAGCATGTTTGGCCCGCCTTTACCTTTATGTCAATGACATACCAGATTTGTTTCGGAATATATATGTTTGGTATATATGAATGGTAGACCCTCTATGTATGCCGATGATTTAGAAGTCGCCTATCGATGCCAGAGAGATTAGTCTTAGTAACATTGAAGGATCTAAGGATCCGCAACCTTTTTATTGAATTATTTAAATTCTAGCCCGAACTCGGAAACAAAGGATCTCAGTTGTATCGTACTTTTCAAATTAGAGCCATATTATAGGAATTTTTCAAGTTAATAATATTTTATCGACAGTTAAATAAACTTCGTCTATGACTTACGCTGATGAACAAATGCTCTCTGTGCTATTTACCCTTGTCCCCTAAGGCCAATGTTCCGGAACCAAAGAATAGAATGGTTCCAGTGGGACCAAAGCGTAGCCTTTGGTTCCACTGCGCCGT